ATTCTGTAAGTAAGCTCTGCACCAAATTAGCTCTACGACTGTATCATGTCTATGTTAAAATATGGGTAAGCGTCGTATAAGCACTAACATCGCTTTGTGGAATTTGATGCACTGGTTGCTTACAGAATGGACATTTCAACCAAAATATGACTGATCTGAAAATAAGACAGACCCTAAAATGTTGCTGGGTTTGACGCAAACAAGACTTAGTGCCTTGGTTTTCTTGCCATGTTGTCAGTTGATATGCTTATTGTTGTCATATTTTTGACGAAATAGTTTTTTGAAACGAAGAAGGGAGGTATCCTATTTTTTATAAGTAACTGTGACTTGGTGTGACGTGGAAATAAGGATGCGATGACGTTGATCATGGTGGTAGAGATAGGAAGGGACGTGAAGTTAATAATGACGGTGGAAATAAGGAGGACCTTAACGTTGATTATGACGCTGAAGATGAGGAGGACGTTGACGTTGATGACGACGGTGGAGATTGGGAGGACGTTGGCGTTAATGATGACGGTGGAGAAAGCCAGGACGTTAACGTTAGTTATGACGTTGGAGACATGGATGACGTTGATTATGACAGTGGAGATAGCAAGGACGTTGATTATATTGTGTACTGCCATTCTATTGTGTACTACCATTCTATTGTGTACTACCATTCTATTGTGTACTGCCATTCTATTGTGTACTACTATTCTATTGTGTACTACTATTCTATTGTGTACTGCCATTCTATTGTGTACTACCATTCTATTGTGTACTGCCATTCTATTGTGTACTACCATTCTATTGTGTATTGCCATTCTATTGTGTACTACCATTCTATTGTGTACTACCATTCTATTGTGTACTGCCATTCTATTGTGTACTACTATTCTATTGTGTACTGCCATTCTATTGTGTACTACTATTCTATTGTGTACTACTATTCTATTGTGTACTACTATTCTATTGTGTACTACCATTCTATTGTGTTCTGCCATTCTATTGTGTACTGCCATTCTATTGTGTACTGCCATTCTATTGTGTACTACTATTCTATTGTGTACTACCATTCTATTGTGTACTGCCATTCTATTGTGTACTGCCATTCTATTGTGTACTACCATTCTATTGTGTACTGCCATTCTATTGTGTACTGCCATTCTATTGTGTACTGCCATTCTATTGTGTACTGCCATTCTATTGTGTACTACTATTCTATTGTGTACTGCCATTCTATTGTGTACTGCCATTCTATTGTGTACTGCCATTCTGTTGTGTACTACTATTCTATTGTGTACTACCATTCTATTGTGTATTGCCATTCTATTGTGTACTGCCATTCTATTGTGTACTACCATTCTATTGTGTACTACCATTCTATTGTGTACTGCCATTCTATTGTGTACTACTATTCTATTGTGTATTGCCATTCTATTGTGTACTGCCATTCTATTGTGTACTACCATTCTATTGTGTACTACCATTCTATTGTGTACTGCCATTCTATTGTGTACTACCACTCTATTGTGTACTACCATTCTATTGTGTACTACCATTCTATTGTGTACTACCATTCTATATTGTACTGCCATTCTATTGTGTACTACCATTCTATTGTGTATTGCCATTCTATTGTGTACTACCATTCTATTGTGTACTACCATTCTATTGTGTACTACTATTCTATTGTGTACTGCCATTCTATTGTGTACTACCATTCTATTGTGTACTACTATTCTATTGTGTACTGCCATTCTATTGTGTACTACTATTCTATTGCGTACTACTATTCTATTGTGTACTACTATTCTATTGTGTACTACTATTCTATTGTGTACTACCATTCTATTGTGTACTACGATTCTATTGTGTACTACTATTCTATTGTGTACTGCCATTCTATTGTGTACTGCCATTCTATTGTGTACTACTATTCTATTGCGTACTACTATTCTATTGTGTACTACTATTCTATTGTGTACTACTATTCTATTGTGTACTACCATTCTATTGTGTACTACCATTCTATTGTGTACTACTATTCTATTGTGTACCGCCATTCTATTGTGTACTACCATTCTATTGTGTACTACTATTCTATTGTGTACTACTATTCTATTGTGTACTACCAGTCTATTGTGTACTGCCATTCTATTGTGTACTACTATTCTATTGTGTACTACCATTCTATTATGTACTGCCATTCTATTGTGTACTACTATTCTATTGTGTATTGCCATTCTATTGTGTACTACTATTCTATTGTGTACTACTATTCTATTGTGTATTGCCATTCTATTGTGTACTACTATTCTATTGTGTACTACTATTCTATTGCGTACTGCCATTCTATTGTGTACTACCATTCTATTGTGTACTGCCATTCTATTGTGTACTACTATTCTATTGTGTACTGCCATTCTATTGTGTACTACTATTCTATTGTGTATTGCCATTCTATTGTGTACTACCATTCTATTGTGTACTACTATTCTATTGTGTACTACTATTCTATTGTGTACTGCCATTCTATTGTGTACTACTATTGTATTGTGTACTACCATTCTATTGTGTACTGCCATTCTATTGTGTACTACTATTGTATTGCGTACTGCCATTCTATTGTGTACTGCCATTCTATTGTGTACTACCATTCTATTGTGTACTACCATTCTATTGTGTACTACTATTCTATTGTGTACTGCCATTCTATTGTGTACTACCATTCTATTGTGTACTACCATTCTATTATGTACTGCCATTCTATTGTGTACTACTATTCTATTGCGTACTGCCATTCTATTGTGTACTGCCATTCTATTGTGTACTGCTATTCTATTGTGTACTACTATTCTATTGCGTACTGCCATTCTATTGTGTACTACCATTCTATTATGTACTGCCATTCTATTGTGTACTACTATTCTATTGCGTACTGCCATTCTATTGTGTACTGCCATTCTATTGTGTACTGCTATTCTATTGTGTACTGCCATTCTATTGTGTACTACCATTCTATTGTGTACTACTATTCTATTGTGTACTACCATTCTATTGTGTACACCCATTCTATTGTGTACTACTATTCTATTGTGTACTACCAGTGTAATTGCTGTGCAGTAATTTGTATAGATTTGTAAACCTTGTTCACTTTATAATATAACTGTCGTTTGTATACCATTTGCTGTTTTTTGTTGGTTTCACACTAAATTCTTTTACGTACAGATTTCTGGGTTAACATATTGTTTCAGTTTGGGAATCGACACGAAAGAATATGCATATATAAACGGGGTAATATTGATATTACCAATGACCCAGAAAATACCTAGTTATATGTGGGAATAACCAATGTACACTCCCACACACAAATGTATATATTTACAGTCACGTGTAACTGGCCACATACATTGTGGAGCCTCTTGAACACCATTCTCCTCTCAAGTTCTCAACAGGTGTTCAGTCAATAATAACGACATTAAATTTTACGATCCTGCTTCGTAAGGAAGTAATATTGATCTCTGAACTGTGAAATAGAATACCATTCAATGCAATGCCTCAAGCCACTATCCTGTTGCACTTTACGTAAACTAATAAACTAAATAAACTGTGTCGATATATCAAAACACTTGTCACATGTGTACTTTCCTCCTGGTCGTATTTCTAAATTCGTGGTGGCCATGTTTAACGTATACTGTAATCGTGAGTGAGTTGGGTTTAACGCCGCTTTTAACAATATTCCTGTTATATCGCGGCGTGTCAGCTTAATGTGGGAGGAAAGCCCGAAGTGATGCAGGTCTCAGACGTTTACCACTTCGGTGAAATCCACGAGCACGGATATGGTGCTGACAAACCTAGGAACATAATCGGGGCGAACCGGGATTCGAACCCACAATCATAGGTTTCTGGCGTGCCCAAGGGACGCAACTCTGCACAACGAATCGCGGCGCCTTAGACGACTGGGCCACCCGTGCCCCCGTATACTGTAATAACAAACTGCAGTATATCATGATTAAGGCACACGTCACACTCTGTTTGGTCTTTTTTTTGTCATATGATAACTAATAGGGTCAACATTAAATTACTTTTTACATTACGATGATTGGTTTGTGTATGGGGTGGGAGTAGGGGTAGGGGTTTGGAGGTGGGATTGGGAGTGAATGGCTGGTGGGTGGGAAGCGTTTTCAAATTAGGTCCCCGGCGCCCCCATGAGTGGAGTGGAGTTATCCTGCCTGGCGCTCGGCATTGAGGGGCTGAAACAAGGACTGGTCGGTGTACTTTGTCACTATAAAATCGGCATCAGTCCAGACTAGTACACACAGCCACACACACGCGTACACGTCCGTCGCTATATAATATTAAGTGTAATAATCACCTCAACTCGGGTATTCACAGACAGCAGTGATATATCTAGCATATTGATAGTTGCGGCTTTAAACAATACTCATTCATGGGATGGGGTTTTGTTTCGAAATTAGACATTTTCACAGCTACAGCTACAAAACCAAATAGTTATTTATTTAAAACTTTATTTAAGTAACAAATGTTATATATTTGGGATAACACTTTCTTAGCAAAGTACAGATTCTAGTACTTTTTGGTGTTGAGTCCCTTCCAGGATTCCAGTAGCCCAGTGGTTAACGCGTTTGCTCCTCGACCAGTGGATAAAGGTTTGATTCCCTACTTGGTTAACAGGTGTGAAACCGATTCTTAGTGTTGTTTGACTTGGTACTGCTGGGATGTTGCTAAAAGCGGAGCAAAAACATCATTCATTCCTTCACATTCTTATTACTATACAGATAAACATGACGTTCAAACTTGTTTTTATCGCATCTGGCCACACACTGGCTAACCGCAAGTGCATAGATGCATAAACAAGCTATGCAATTCATGAATGATCTTTCCCAGAAAACGGAATTACGTATTCAGCGGTCTCATTCGTGTTAGACATCTCACGATGGAGGAAGAAGCGAGAATTACTTCCTATTTCGAAGCGAAAATTGCTGAAGTCAGACGCCAGCAGATCACGTGACAACGCGGAAGCCACACACAGTCGATAAATACAAGCGAGCGGGCAAAATCCCCACAGCGGCTGTCAGTGAGCCAGAGAGGTTGGAGAGAGATTACGTTAAACATGCCTAGTGCTAAGGTCGATGTTGCGAACCCACAAGGTAAGGAATAGGTTTATTTTGACACATATTCCTATTAGAAATAAGTCGGAGAATATTATGAAACAGCTGTCATATCGTTGAATTCAGGGAAAATGTGAAAAGACGACTAGCATATTTACCGTATGTGCAAACCCCCTCGCTTATATGGATCTGTTAAAGAGGAATTTCCTGCCTTTTTAAAAGATTAAGTTCTGAGACACATGTCTGTTGATATTGGCAAGTTTTAATACTTTTATCCAAAGGGTCGTTTTTGTAATGATATTCTGTCTGGATGTGTCTGGGTCGTTTTGAAATTGTTATGTGCATTATGCAACTAACAAGCTCTCCGATACTGACACCACTTGTGAAGCCTTTGTTCGACAGTAGAACGTTTGGAGATGTTCCGTTGAGATTTATTTCGTCGTATACTCGGCGTTTGAAGTGTGTCGTATTCGTCGCGGCCGTTGTGTTTCAATTTAGTTTATGGCAGTGGGTCCTTGCCTATGAAAGTCACGTTCTCTCGGTCTGCTGTTGTCCCTTTGTCTCCAGCAGTGGCTGTAGCAAGACGAGCGGCACCCTGTGATAAATGGGAGGGGGGCATTCGGTGGGTTGTTGTCTGGGCCTGGTAGAGCGGCCCATTTACAAGAGTCTGAGAGAGGAAAATGGTCTTAAAAAATACTCACATTGACATTTCCCCGTTGTATGGAAATGTACAGGCCGGAGCATATAAAAACACTAACTTTAGCTGAGGATTTAGTTTTCTTAAAAAATAATTTTCCTGCAAACGATAAGTAGAGCATATATCGATTGGGAGAGACGCGGGCAAAGTGGAGACGTTTAATCTGATCGCCGACAAACTCGGCTGTCACTTTTAATAAAAATATTGAACTATCGCAGATTGGACTAGTTTGAATGGCGACGTCAAGTGGCTAAAACCAGTGTCTACAAGATTCATTTTGAAGTAATGAGCGGAAACGAATATAGTTATAGTACAGTAGGTAATAAGCGCTTATTTGATAATGGGGGATCCTGCACTTGCAATTTGTGAATGGTGAATGTTTATCAGAACGTTTTAGAATTGTGGAGGGATGAGGTTGTGTTTATCTTTGCCACGTCTGGATAAGTGACGGGGGAGAGTCACAACAGCCTACCGTGTCCCTGGGGGAGGGAAGCTGGACTATGAGAAGTGGCTGTTGGTGAGGAAGCGACGGGGGGGGGGGGGGGGGGGGGGGGGGGGGGGGGGTGGCGCTGGATAGTGAAACGTAGTCTGTAATTATGTGATTATCAATTCCTTGTTGTGTAATGCTTCATCACGCAATCAATTACATTTATACCAATTGAACAATTGACTTTGGAAACATTTCTTTTCGATAGAGACATCGATGTGTGGAATATTACATTATACGATACATTTGACGGATCTGTCAAATGTACTTTTAAATACGTCCTGGTTCGAGATACAGGGGTTCAGAATACACATCTGTTTCAGGCATAAGCACAAATATGTCATGTTTGTAATTCGACATTTTTAGCTCGAGCTATCGTTTTAGACTAGAGGAACGACGACCCGCCACGATCCCTATTAGATATCTCCATACGTGACTTGGAGTTATCGAGGTGTCTCAGTATTTACAGATATAAAACTTCGAGTTGATTGCTCAAAGAAAGGGAAAGCTTAGCTCGTACACTTGCTGTTATGCAAGTTGATCTTTCACGAGATGAAGGCGATCTGGGTTTTTCAATTCTCAAAGATGAGGTGTTGTTTTCGTTTTTATTGACGGGCATCACTTGCTGACGTTTGCACAGACAACAAGCTAGCTATTTCAACACCTCAATAAGAGGTTATTTTGGCTGCTGCAATGGCCGCATAAATTCGATAGACCTTTGCGACGGAGACGTGGAATAGTTGAAATTTATTTGGCACTTCACTTGTGTAATTATTTATACAACCCTGAACATGCTTTGACAAAAAGAAAGTTCGCTTCCTTCTGTAGTACGTTTTTCACCTGCGGTCGTAATGGGCAATGCAGTCAGCGTGCTTGGTGAATTTGCCTCCTAACCCTTACGTTACGCCTTTCCGTCTGGGCTGTGAGGGGCGGGGATCTAAGGGTGCTTCGCGTAGCTGCTGCTTGAAGTATGAGTTAACTGAAGCTTCCGAACCAAGGATATTAACTCTTCAAGACGTGCAGGGGGTGGTCGGGTAGCCTAGTGGTTGAAGCGTTGGCTTGTCACGCCGAAGACCCGGCTTTTCGAGTCACCACATGGGTACAATGTGTGAAACCCATTTCTGGTGTCCCCCGCCGTGATATTGCTGTGTAAAACCACACTCACTCACTCACTCGTGCATATACTTCTCCGAAAGGAGACAATCCTTTCGTTGAACATTCAGAATAGCCATCGAACAATGTTTTGTTTTTTTAAATAGTTTAAGTAACAACTGGTCGACCCCTTTGGACGACAACGCAAATGAGTCAGATTGTGGTTTTGGTACGATCGGTAGAACCATATATATTTTTGATAATGAAGGGTTTGGACAAATAGTGATTGATGAAGTGAACACCAGGTCGTCGGGACACCATGACAAACAGCTAGCCAAACCGTCTCAGGCGGTCACCTAGCCAGTATACATTCCTTCCTGAATGTTCGTGATCAACCTATCCTGCCTCGTACAACATACATCGTATTTAGGGGCTCCATTCCAAAAGACGTTTTATTGAAGAATACGTGGAAGGAGACTCGGGAGACTCAATGCAACAACGATCAGCCAATGCAGTCATTAACTTTAATATAATAGTTCTGTTGATGCTGATCGCTGTCACCGGTACACTTGTATAAAATGGGCGGTGTTGTGGTTAGGACGTTGGTCGAAGGCCATAGTTCTGCTCAACAGCTTCAATATTCAAAGCCAATGATTGGTGTCCCAAGCGTTATATTGTTGGAATGTCGCTAAGACGCAGTGATACCTAGCTCACTCATTCACTTGTAGATAGATATCGATCCTTCAGACAGGGGACGCGTGTCGGGGAAGAGGTCGGCCCCCCTGACCCTCATTGACCAAGGAGTTGGGGGTAAGGCAAATTTCATGAACGATGTCAACGTGTTTGGTTTGGGTGAGCAGGCGAGACGCAAGAAAGGGGTGACGGGATATGGGACGAACACCACTATCCGTTGGTGTTTGTCTTAGAGTAAGAGGGTTGATTTGTTTGTGGTTTGTTTTATATTTAATAAAATGCCGCTTTCATCAATATTACAGCTATATGACGGCGATCTATAAATAATCCAGTCTGGACCAGACAATCCAGTGATTGACATCATGATCATCGATCCACGCAACTGGGATACAATGACATGCACCAACCAAGTCAGCGAGCCTGACCGCCCGATCCCGTTAGTCGCCTCTTACGACAAGCATAGTCGCCTTTTACGGCAAGGAAGGGTTGCTGAAGACCTATTCTACCCCGGATCTTCACGGGTCATAATAAGTTCTCACGCTATGGACACAGGTCAGTCGTGCAGAGAGATGACATCTTTAAGTCAAATATGATTTCTGTCTGGTACCGAAAGCAACACCCAACAATCAAGACGGATTACATGCAAAGAAACCAACACACCTCAACCCTCCAGCTCACAAACAGCGTGCAAAACAAACAGGGAAATAAATTGTGCACATAATGTTTAACATATCAATATAGGGCCATGAACACACTGCAGGGCAGCCAAGATATGCCGGGTTTTCACAACAAATACATGTATAGCATCAACCAGGAAGTTCAATTGCCATGGGGTGGGGGTGGGTATATCAACTTCCTTGTCCGTGAGTGAAAAGTCATGCTACGCTTCAAAGCAGCGTTTGTCCCACATCTCACGTGAATGTGTCTTGTACACGGGATAGGTTGAATATGAAGGCTATTATGTCATGCTGTCAGTACTTGGTGGTGCCGCGGGCCATTTATTCATAATGTACTGTTATGAAAACAAAATTCACAAGCGTGACGTGAGAATCTTACCCGAGTGTCTTTTGACATCATATATATCAACACCAGTCGATAAATAATTGAAACTACCGATGCTTGGCGAGGTGTTTTAGAGTTGTATCGATCAGTGTTGATGTATTGTAGGTCAAAAGAAACAAGGGGGTTCTATTAATCATCCAAATCATTCTTCCGTTTTTTTCCAGTTTGTAAACATTAATAACCAGTGACTTTGGTGTTAAAAGTGCAGCTAACCAGCTACAGTGGTAGAAATATGTCATTTGATTGTGATCTAACGGTAAGGCAGCTCTGGAAGATAAATTGGCATACCCTTTTCTCCATCAGCTAGGGGCACGGGTGGCCCAGTCGTTTTATTAGGCGCCGCAGTTCGCTGTGAAGAGTTGCGTCCCTTCGGCACGACAGAATCCTATGATTGCGGGTTGGAATCCCTGTTTACCCCGATTATGTTTTTTTTTGGTTCGTCAACACCATTCCAATGGTCGTGGGTAGCCTAGTGGTTTAAGCGTTCGCTCGTCACGCCGAAGACCCGGGTTCGATTCCCGACTTTGGTACAATGTGTGAAGCCCATTTCTGGTGTCCCCCGCTGTGATATTGATGGAATAATGCTAAAATCGGCGTAAAACCACACTCACTCACTGTGATGTATCGTTCCCAGATTGTGTATTTGTTTCCGTCTGAAAGCAGTCCTTGAATTGTACTCTGACACGTCCTTGTTTTGATGTATTAGTATCTGTATATCTCTCTGTTCCCTGTTTCATTTGACATTATCTGTTTCCTTGTTTCGTAGTTAATACATCATGCTTCGTTGAGATAGACACAAATGTCGCTATGTCAATATATTTCAGGTTGAATACTGAGTGAGTGAGTTGGGTTAACGCCGCTTTTCACAGTATTCCAGTTATATCGGGGCGTGTCAACTTAATGTGGGAGGAAAGCCCGAGGTGATGCAGGTCTCAGACGTTGACCACTTCGGTGAAACCAACGAGCACGGGTATGGTGCTGACAAACCTAGAAACATAATCGGGGCAA